CTTGGTAACGTGTCCCTGCCCCTTGTGAGAAGTCTGAATTTGCACTCCACACCTATTGGTAGCTGGCGCCACATAGCCAACCTTGTTTGGGGTGAGAAGGAACAAGGAAATTATAGAGCCCAGGTTTGGATTGATATATAGAGATTGGCTGACTGGATATACTGCATTTCTGGTCTAGGGGAGCATTTATAAGGACAAGAAAGTTATATAAATTTTGGTTTGGTAACGTGACATCCCATGTAGGAGCAGTTCCATCTTGGGCCTAGAAATTTATTTCAACATTTATAAAATGTTCATTCTACCACAGTCAGATTCCCAAGACCCAAGAGTGAAGGCCTAAACCCTCTGGCTCTTTCAACTCTTGTTCACTATTAAGACGTTGAGTGTAGTCTTTATTTCTGGACCCGAGAATTTATTCTCTTAGTGTCGGGCTTTCTTCTTCCATTTTATCCAGAATTTCCATTGTTTTGCAGGAACGGCTTTATGACAGCTTTATATCCAGTTATTCATCCTTTTTCTTAATAGTATCTCTCTCCCATCCACTGAACCCCACCCAGCAACTCCCTCTGCTAAATCTCCTTAACTCTCCACCCATTACTTGTCTTCTCCAATTATTCATCACAAACACCCAGGAACCAGGTCAGAAAATCACAACCTTCCTTAGAGGGGTCTATTTTAGTAGAAAGGAATTTGGAGTGGAAAAGGCTAGGAACATCCATAGATATTTTTAAGTGAAGGTTATTGTCTTGCTGCTTATAACAGATCCAGTGAGTGACTCCGTGGATTTTAAAAATGTAAAATGAGAGAGGTCCATGTAAAGACAGCATTCTATTCTGCTTTCATCCCATGTTTTAGAAGTCTGTCAGGAAGGAGAGACTGGTTGGCACAAAGTTAAGAAAATATTTCTTTTCAAAGTTTTACCAGCAAGGTTGAAATATGGTGGTTTTCTTTGTAAGATAGGAAGTGTCAGACTCTTAAGACATAAGGCCAAAGGTCCCCCTGAGGACATGCCACACGAAGAATTTAAATTTTCCTTTCTCTTGGACTCCTGGTAATTATCAGAGTTTGCATTCATTTTAAAAATCTTCTCCCTACATCCTGATCCCTTCTCCTTAGCCAGTAGTCTTCAGGGCAGCACCCCTACATGGCCTTCCTTGCATCTCTTCCCCTTTGAATTTCATGACAGTAACAACAGTTGGAGGTGAGATAGTCTTTAGTGAGTTCTAAGGGGTGGCCAGCCCCAAAGCTTCAAGGGCCACACGGCAAAGCTAAGAGTAGTGCAAAGGCGCATCTGCAATATGGACAATTCAGGAGGGGAACTAAGGGTGTTAATAGAAGCTGGCATTGATGGCATTATAACATTGACCAGGAACTAACCTAAGTCTTCGCAGAGATGGTATCATGTCAATCTAAATATCCTATGATTTAGCTACTATTGCTATTTCCAGCTTACAGATCAGGAAACGGAGGCACAGAGTGTTAAAATATCTTCCTCAAGGTGATGCAACTAGTGTGGGAGAAAGTGCCTGAGAAAGGAAAAAAGCGAAGGATAAAACTAGGGCTGCTCTGGGGGACCTCAGCGAGAGACACTTGTAGACAATGTATTGTGCTGCAATTAATACAATTCTGCCTCAATTTCTTCGGTCGCCAAGTCTCTTCATTCCCAGCTTCAAATCCCCAAAGAGTGTATCTAATATACCCCACTCTGGCCTGTCCCTGTTAAATGAATGAGCTATGATTAGGGAACCTAATAATGTAATACGCATATGGTCTACCTTGTCAATGAGGGCACAGCCTAGACATGCAGTCGTGGCTGTAAGTGGGCAACCACTTTAAATGGTTATCTACTTATGACCTAATGATGTAAGAAGCAATCAGTTTTTTCTGCAGCTGATACATGGTCCCAAAATAAGAATTACATTCATCAAGAAAAATATATAGTGTTTCGTGTTATTATTTTTTAGTTTCTTTGGAGTGTGTATCTATAGTAACTGAACTGGGAACCATCTATTATCTCATTTTCCTTAGTATGAAAAGCTCACTGAAGAAACTCAGTTTACACTGAAATGATACTCTTTTTTAAATCCTCACCTGGGGATATGTTTTCACTGATTTTTAGAGAGAGGGAGGAAGGGTTAGGGGAAGGGAGGGAGGAAGGGAGGGAGGGAGGGAGGGAGAGAGGAGTTGAGAGGGAAACATTGATTGGTTGCCTCCCCCGCGTGCTTCAACCAGGATTGAACCTGCAACCTGGGTATGTGCCCTGACTGAAAATGGAACCTGTAACTTTTTGGTATACGGGACTACACTCCAACCAACAGAGCCACCAGCTGAAATGATGCACTTCTATTTCTTCTATTATCTGTTAAATTCTGTACACCTAGGTCTTCTACTTTGATAGCTGTGCAGTTGTGAGGGTCGGGAAATAAAGCCAAGAGCCCATCTAAAAGGAGAAATTTAATAGGAGATAAAAATCTGGGGCCCCAAAGGGCTACATTCCCAGTGTAAAAGTGAATCAGAAAAAAAAAACAACAAAAAACAAAACCTGATGTACAGGTCAGTAAGGAAACATGTCTGTCTTGACCTTGGGAACCAGGAGAGGGAAAAAAAATTTCCCTTCAGCATGTATAACAAGCTACTTGGCATAAGGCCCCAATTCAATTTACCTGTGAAATTCAATAAATCTTAAATGAAATATTGAATTTAGTTCTAGGGTTTTTGTTGCCTCCTAGCAACTTGCAATAGCAAATTCTAATACTCTCTAGGAAAACGCACTTTGAATTCAGGTCTCAAAGAATCCCCATAGTTACAACCCCAGAAACAAGCCACAAGGAAACAGGCACCAGGAGCAAAAGCCAGAAGAAACAGCAGACTGTACAAAATGCCCATGCAATTTTCAGTATTGGATTTTAACAGGCACAATGTAGACTATGCTTAACTTGTATAAGAAATTTGAACATGGCTTGAAAAGAAAACCAAACAGAACTTCCAAAAACACAAAGTGTATGAAAATTGAGATGGACCATATATAAATAAATAAATAAATAAATAAATAAAAATCAGTAAAACACAGCCCCCTATGAAGATTAAAAAAAGAAAAAGATAAAGATAAACGCAATGAGCCCTGTTTTAGAGGTATTCTAAGAGATAATGAAGGAAATGGAAAATAAGCTACACTGAAGATATTATGGTTGAGAATTTTCTAGAATTGCTGCAGTCCACTAATCCTGAGATTCAGGAATTCTGTCAAATCCTAAACATGGTTAAAAATTTATATATATAAAAGCCTAAGCAATTGGCCAATGGGCCAACCGGCCAGTAGCCATGATGCCCACTGACCACCAGGAGGCAGCCACTCAACACAGGAGCTGCCCAGCGACAGCAACTTTACAGAGTGCCCTCTCGCACTCCTGGACCTCTCAGGGCATGTCAGAATGCAGGCTGCTGGTTTTGGCCCGATTCCCACAGGCCAGGCTGAGGGACCCCACCTGCCAGAGGGACCTGGCTCACTCTGTAGATGCCCCAGGTGCGGCCGGGCGAGGGACTGCAGGAGGTTGGCTCCAGAGCCTGTCCAGCACATCTTGCCCAGTCCTGTCCTGTTGGCCACCTTCTAATGAATTTCCTTTCAACGTGCTGTGCACCGGGCCTCTAGTACATGTATGAGGAAAGAGAGGAAGGGAGGGAGAAAGGAAAGAAAGAAAGGAGGAAAGAAAGGGAAGGAGGGGAAGGGAGGGGTGGTGAGAAGAGGGAAGTGGAAGGGTGGATGGAAGGAAGGAAGGAATTATACCTGGATTCACTGCTTTGAAACTGGGATAATATCAGAGATCTTAAAAGCAGCCAGAAGAAGGAAGGAAGGGGAGGGTGGGAGGAAGACTGAAGTCATTCGATTTTAAATATAAGCACAAAAAATAAATTAGGTAATTGTTATTAGGATTGCGGTTAATTTCCTTTGGGGTTCATGAATCTGACAGCTAAGTATCCTGATTAAGAGCAGTAAAAACGTCTTCAGCACAAGAAAATGTCAAGGAGGGGGGGGGGGGGGGGGGGGGGGGGGGGGGGACGCAGGAAACACGAAGAGAGTTAAAGACAGGTGGAAAGTAATAGCCAACCTTTATTGAGTGCAAAAGTTTTTAAGAGGAAAACTGATCCGTGAAGGACTATCACGGATGAACATTAGAGAAGTGGTGTCCAAACATCCAAAAAGACAACGCACAGGACTACAGACGTCCGATACAGGCTATTGGCTCAGCATAAAGTTATTCCAAGCACAGCCCATTAGACACGAAGGCTCCGTCCGTTATTTCTGCTAGATTATATATATATATATAGCGGGTGCAGGCTGTACGTATAGATCCATTTCATTAGAATGACGACGAGACGGACCGCAAAATGGAATAGATGAGAAACTACTGAGAACTATTTGTGCATTCTTTTTAACATGGGAAATAGTCACCCCATGTTTAAAATAAACTCCTTGAGCGACATGGAAGCCCATGAGACGTCCTGTTTACATTTTGGGGAGCGGACACGGAGGCTGGGTTCCAGCAGCGAGTTCTGTTTTACCGAAGAGCCCCGCCTGCCTGACCTTGCGGGGGTTCTAGCGCTGGAACCTCCGCTGTTCCCCCCGCGCTCCTCGAGGCCGGCGACTCACACGCAGCGGGGCCGTCGCAGGCGCAGGGAAAGCGGAAAAGTTGTTCCTAGCGGCGCTAGGCAGCCGCAGACGACTCCCGTCCAAGCCGGTGCAAAAAGCAACAAATAAACACGGGCACCGCAGTTGGGACTCTGTTGCGCAACCCTCGCCATGGCGCCTGGTACTTGTAGTTTCCGTGTGAAGAACTGCCAGCGGGCTAGCTCGCTGCCGAGGGAGGAAAACTACAATTCCCACAACGGCGCGGGCACAGGCACGGCCGGCCTACGTCACCGCCCCAGCCAGCCAATGACAGCCCCGGGCGGCAGTGAGGCAAGCGCCGTCAGGCGCCAAAGTGGTTTTTTTTTTTCCCCTTTTCTTTTTTTTTTCCCACCGAAGCCGAGCGGGCGCTGCTAGCGGAGGCGCCATATTGGAAGGGACAAAACTCCGGCGACAGCGAGTGACACAAATAAACCCCTGGATCCCCTCGTCCCCCAAGCGCTAAAGGCCGCGATGTTGTACCTAGAGGACTATCTAGAAAGTGAGTGGGCGGCGCTGGCCGGGGCCGTCCGTGGGACCCGCGGGCGGGCGAGAGC